CAGACCCCCCCCCGCTAGCAGCAGGGATGGCTTTAGATGAGCGGAGTTACGCCGAGAGGCGAGAGAAGCCGCGAGAGCAAGGGATCGGCAGGCGGCGGCGGCGTCGCAGCACGAGGCAGAGGAGAGCGACGCGACAGAGGAGGAAGCGACAGGAGGGAGAACGACGAGAGTGGGTGGGACGACCGCGAGGTGGCATGAAGGTGGCAGCGAGAATCGCGGGCGCGGCGAGGGACTGCGAAGAGAGATAGGAAGGGGCAGACGCCCAAGGGTGGGCGACGGCTAGCACCACCACACTCCTCTCCTTATAAAATCCCTGTGTGGTGGCGGCGTGATGGCAAAAAATATCTTTATCCCCGCATTCACAATCGTGGGATGAGCTTTCTCTTTCTTCGTGCGACCGCCTTTGTTGTAAACTTGGAGCACTTGGAGTGCAGTCGGTAACCTCACATCCACCGAGGTTCAGATAAAATAAATAAATACAACGGACATCCCAAGCTAGGGCTGGGTAGAAGCGCAGCCAGCGGGGCTGCTTGTAATTCTCTTTCTTTAGGAAGCGGGCGCGGCTACACCAACTACCATCGTATGTTACGCCCTACCCTCCTCATCCTCTCCGCCTTGCTGCTGCCGCCACTCCTCGAGTGCTTCGACTGGCGCGTCACCGCCAGCCTTGTGTCCCCGATGCACCCACTCGTATGCCTCGCTGCCTTGGTCGCGCAGCAAATGCACCGCCACCCCGCGTTGCCTGAGCAGCAGCGCGAGGTGCTGCCGGCCGCCGCGGGCTCCTCGCTGCCGCGCTCCGCCTGGCACATGCTCGCCCTCGGCGTGACGGCAGCAGCTGCCATGCTGAGCCTGCTGGGTCCTCCGGGCGCGACGGCGCGTGCAGCGTGCGGCGTGGGCGCCACGCTTGTGTGGCTGCGCGCCTGCTGGTCGGATGGAGCGGCCGCCTCCGGCTCTGCCCGCGCCGCCGCGTGGGCGGTCGGCATGCTCGGCGCATCGCGGCTATCGAGCGAGATTGCGGCGGAGCACGGCACGCCCGCCTCAGTCGAGGGGCTGCACCAGCTCTGGACCGTGGCCTGCGCGGCGCTGGTGGCGCAGAGCGCGTGCGCGCTGCTTCCCGCCCGCGCGAGCCGGCCGCAGCCGGCAGCGCCTCGGGACTGGTCGCGGCTGGGGCTGCAGCTGCTGGGCGCCGCGCTGCTCGGCGGCGCCGCCGCCGTGCGCGCGTCCTCGTTGCGCAGTGGCGAGGGGGCGCTAGTGCAGGGCCTGGAGCGGCTCGGCACCTCCGCGTGGACGCTCGCCGCGTGGCTGCTCGAGCACTCGCCCGAGGACGAGCCCGCGGACGGTGCGGCGCACGAGAGGAGAGTCTGCGTCGGCCCGGTCCTCGTCGACAGTGTCGGCCGGCGGGGCGGCGTGCAGAGCCTGCGGTGGTGGAGCTCCTCCCTCTGCTCCG